GGAGTTCTGAGCAAGAGTGAGACCCCATCTCTACAAAAAATTAAAAAATTAGCTGGGCATGGCGGTGTGCGCCTGTAGTCCCAAGCTACTCAGGAGGCTGAGGCAGGACCTCTTGAACCAGGAGTTTGAGGTTGCAGTGAGCTGTGATGAAACACCACTGCACTCCAGCCCAAGTGATAGGGCTAGACCCTGTCTCCAAACAAAACAAAACAAAAACAAAAACAAAAAATCTAAAGCTGGCTTCACATGCCCAGAGCCCACAAAATTAAGAAAATCACTGGGAGCTACACTAAACTGGGAGCTAGGTTTTCAGTGAAGGTGTTAAAACTTCTCTGTAGTATTTCTGTATTAATTTTCTATAAAGCAAAACTAAAATATAACCTCTTCAACCTGCATTTATTATCGTTTGTGATTCCATTCCTTACACCCTGCTCCACTATCCTTTTTACCTGCTGTGAACTTTACACCTGGAGGCCCCCCAGTGATGCTGGTTCAGTAGGTCTGGATGGGGACTGAGATTTGCATTTCTAACCAGTCTCCAGGTGATGCTGACACTGCTGGCCCAGGGCCACATTTTGAGAACCACTGATACATGATAATTGCAGAATCTAGTGAAATTTGGTGTTTTCATTTCTCCCTATGGTGGGAGAAAAGGGACTGGCAAAGTCAGAATTCAAGGCTATATATAATATTTAGAGTAAAAAATAATATTTAGAGTATATTTGGCCATCAGTGTTGTTGTTACCCTGGCGCCCCACCGTTACTTTAATAGGCCAGGAGAGTGCAGGATAATAAATAGCCTCTGGCCCACAGCTAGTCCCATTGTCATTTGTGGTTGCCCTGGTCATGCTGGAAGCTGGAATCACAGCTACTGAAACACAGATTGGTCCTGGAATAGGACACTAGGTTCGCTGGTACCTTTTGGGAACTCTCAGCCTACTTGGGGGTGATAAGTAAATGCAGAATCTCCCCCAGTGAATATAAAATATCTAAATACTGGAAAAAGGAAAACTACTTTTCTATACTTACCATCGATCCATATTTATAGATGCACATTATTTCTATGCCTGTTAAAAGAAAGTTAATTATCAAATTCGTCTTGTTGTATATTATAAGTTAGGTAATCTGTACTCTCAAATGTTATCTAACATCTGCAATTTTAATTTTGTGTACATTACCAATGAAAAATTTATGGTTCTCCGTTGAATATGGCAAAAACCCACTATAAATTGCCTCAAATGATTATAGCCCTAATTTTAATCCCATTGTTTTCTTTTAAAATGTTTTTTGAAAGTGTTCTGAGAATTGAAGGCACAACTGCAAATACTAGTGTTCTGAATAACCCAGTGATAAACACCGTGTGGATCGGCATCTACGAGAGTGAACACTGGGGTGTGGAACGTATCCCAGAGCTTCTTGACCAGAAGTCTTGTGTTCAGATCAGGAACTCCCTTTCCCTAAAATGAAGATGAAAATTAGACATTTTAATTACAGTAGAATGAAATGAATACAACTACATCCTTATTTTATTAAAACTTTAAAAGGTACCTCCCCCTACCTTGAATTTTAAGTGGTGAAAGACTGTGGTGTTGACCATGAAAAAAATGTATAATATATACCACAAGGTGAAGGTCTGGGCATTATCCCAGTCCTGTAAAATGAGCCTAAGGAAATATTTTAGCAGTAACAGATATAATAAAAATTCTACATACTTAAAGATGCTCACTGCAGAGTTACCTAAAAAGACAAAAACTAATATAAATAGCCAAAATATCCAACAACAGGAACATGGAGAGGTGGCATAGCACAGTGGTGACATGCACCAGGATGCAGGGCCAGGTAGCCTGGGCCGGCATCTCGGCTCTGCCACTTCTCAATGGCAGGAACTTCAATGAGTAAGGAAACTACTCTGTGGTTTGGGGCTCTATAACCCCCTGTAAGGTTATTATAGGAATTAAATTACTTAATAATCATAAAGCACTTAGAAGACTACCTGGCTTAAATTTAGGGTTTAATAAATTCTAATGGTGGAATAATGAATTCATTAAAACAATAATGACGG